GGCTCACTGCAGCCTCGATCTCTTGAGCTCAAAGGATCCTCCTGCCTCAGCCTCCCAAGTATTTGGAACCACAGGCACATGCCACTATGCCTGGCTATTTTTAAAATTTTTTTGCAGAGTTGGAATCTCGCCATGTTGCTCAGGTTGGTTTTGAACTCCTGGGCTCAAGCAATCCTCCCTCCTCAGCCACCCAAAGTGCTGGGATTACAGGCATGAGCCATGGTGTCCCGCCAACTTTTCTCATCTTAAAGAGTGCTTTACTATTGGCCTTTTGAAATAAAAAGGGTCTCAGGGAACACTTTAGAACTGATTTTCCCCTGGAGGTGCCAAAAGCTGAACACTTTGTCCTTCTGAGGTGACATTAGCCAGCCAAATGACAATCCCAACCAGAGTGGCCAGTGTAGAATTCCAGCTACAAGCTGTCAGGCCAAGAAGAGGTTTCCCTTCCAAGTCAGTGAAACGATTAGCTACCAAAAGGCAAATGGTATTTAAGGAAGCCCCCACTGATGGGCCACCACAAACTGGGTGGAACAAGGAGGGCAGCCCTCGAGGGGTGGTACTCACCTTTGATGTAGTTGAGGATTTGCTGGATTCGGTGGGGCTCATTGCGGTCTGGCCGGCAGCTTGGTGTGATTTCCAGCACATAATCAGGACCATATGCTGTGAAAAACTGTAAGGAAAAGGGAAAGGCCAAAAAACAAACTAAGTCACATAAAACCTCCAAACCAACCACATACAAACAATCAAAAGAAACTCACACTACCACAAGGCAAGGGAGGCCTCCTTGGGCTGAATAGGATGATGCAGCAGGAGGCCCTGCCTTGGTGGTATCACTACTCCCCTTGCTCAGACCTTCAGTGATAGTCCCCTGTGAAATTATTTGGCTTGCTGTCCAACAGTTCTCTGCTCAGGTCTCAACTTTCTCTCCAACTTTAGTTCTTATTGCTTCCTTGTCCTCTAGCCACACTAGTCTGTTTGGTGCTTTTCCAAATCACACCATGCTTTCTCTTCCCTTAGGATCTTTGCCATTGCTCTTTCCTGGGGCCTGCAAAGGCCCTCCCCCAGTCTCTGCTGCCTGTGAAAAACCTCCCCATCCTTCCAGGCACAGCTCAAATGTCACCTCCTTCACAAAGCTGTCCCTCCTTCTCCACCAACCCCAAGAACATTCTGTTGATACTTCTTTCAGGGCCCTTAAACACACAGCGCTTGCCTGCACATCACATGCAGGTCACTGTGCTGGCTGCAGAGGGGCTGTAAAGATGGATGAGACCTCCTCTGGGGTCCTCTAGGTGTTCACAGGCATATTCTGCATTGGATTGAGGTTTTTCAACAGTGACCCAATCTCCCCACACTGGATTGTCAGCTCCCTGAAGGCAGGCAGCACCTGTCTGTGTCTTATTCATCTCCTTGGTCCCCACAGACCATGGCAGCTGCCTGTTAGTTTTGGCTGCCTTGAATTCCCTGTCCCAGGAATGGCAATGAAGTCTAGTTTCTCTACTTTAATTTTTCTTTCTCAGTAGTAGAGTTTATTTGTTTTTAAATTCAGGGAATCAAAATAAATGTTTGTGGATTCTATTTCTAGCTTGGTAGATGACTCCTTGTGACCTTTGGGAAGTCACAATATCTGATTCAGCTTCTCTGGTAGGGCCCATTTGGGGTAAAACATTCCTTGACAAAGAGAATCATTCAATTGGGATAAGTCTTTGAATGGGAAATATGCAAAGCTACTATTTCTGTTTAGTTTTTAACAGAAATAGTATTTGTGCAAACTCTCCAGAGGGAGAGCATATGGTCCTTAACATTATGTGCTTTCAATAGTGATATTGTTAGGTGGTAAGTAAACCAGGGAAATTCAAATTCTATGAAAAAAAAAGTGGTACAGAGGACATGAAAAAAGAATATTGATATGCATCATGACTTTGATGTCATTCAAATAGCTTCTTAAAAAGAATCCAGAGTTATTGCCATTGTCACCAAATTATCCTTGTTAAGAGTCTGGATGTACATCTGGCAGCGTGGGAGATGTTGTGGAACAATCTCTAGGGATTCTAACAGTGTCTTTGTAGAATCCATGGAAGTAATTTGATGTGGAGATGGTTTCCCACACCCGTGACAGAAAACTCTACACATTTAATTAAAAGAAAAAAAGAAGAATGCCTAAGACTGTGCCAATGCTTATAATGCCCTTTGTGTGTGTATATGTGTATGTGAAGTGATCTAGAAAGAGAGGGTCTTAGGTCCTTCCTGCTATTACTCTCTGATGCCTGAAGCTGCAAGTTACAGAGATAGAAAAGCCTTTGAGTAGAGATTATCTTTACCAAACCCATATGTGGAACAGACAAGAGGTGTTACCTGGGGGACACATCCACAGCCAGTACCCCCTTGCCCCTGCATCATGATTGAAGAAACTTTAGAGGCTTGTATTTTTAGGCAAGGAGGGCCCCTCAGTCCAAGTTTGAGGACCGTTTGGGCTTGGCTGTGGAAGAGAAGGCTTTAAACAGCTGTGGCACTCTCTCCTTAGGCAGCCTCTTCTCCAGAGTGTGTCAATTGGTACACTCATTTCATGGGTACGGAAAGACAGGCTTAGAGAGTACAACAGAAGGCAGGCAGCTGCAATGAAGAAGCTCCTCTCGGAGACCCAAAGTCCTGGCATCAACATGCTATAAAAATCAGGGGTGGGGTGCCTAGCTGAGGTATAGGAGGAGGGAATGTTGTGCCTCCAGTTGCAAAGATGACACTGGCGATTCTCTGTCAGTGAGACATGTCATGAGCTGCTTGATTAGGGCTGAGTGTTTGGAACAACACGTCCTCACTTATGTGTGCCTATTATGCACTTACCCTCACTCTCCTACTTTAGCTCCCTCTTTGACCAAGAGCACACGGTTGCAAGATGTTCAGCTGGGACCAGGATTGGCTGCTGTGTGACAGAACTCAGTTCTACCGGGATTAAGCCTCTTGTCCTGGTATCATTAGCACCTGGCTTTTAACTAACTGAGCCACATGGTAGGCACAATCATATAAAACTCATTCTTTGCTGAAGCAGACTGGCTGCAGGTAATAGCGAAGTCTGGGTTCCTCAACTTCTCCCCACCTTTGCCAATCAAATGTTATTTCCAGTATTTGCACTATTCTTAGATTAGGGGACTCAGATGATTTAAGAAAGTCCTTGTGTTGTGAGCCAGTTCTACATGGCAGCTGGCTGGCCTGCAAAGGTAGAAACTTACGTCATGTTTTCTTTGCATACCCTATAGCGTCCAACTCAAGTCATTACAGGTTTCCCTTAAATGTATGTTGAATTAAATTAACTCACCAAGGATTTAGCTAGCCATATAGCTAATTGTGTAAAATAATTCAAAGAATCAATTCATAGCATTAATGGTTTTTCTAGACTCTTGAGGCAGCATGATGAAGTGGAAAGAACACTGGCTATAGAGTCAGGGGAGCTAGATTTTGGTGCCTAGGTTTAGCGTGTGTACCTTGGGTAAGCTTCTTCTTTTTTAAAAAAAAATTTTAAAAAATTTCATTAGCTTTTGGGGGTACAAGTAGTTTTTGGTTACATGGATGAATTATATAGTGGTGAATTCTGAGATTTTAGTGTACCTGCCATCAGGTAAGCTTTTAAATCTCTGTTTCATCATTTTTACCTGATGATGACAAATGCTGATCTGGTTGGGTTGTTAGGAACCAATGAGATAATATCTATAAAAGGGCCTAGCACAGGGTGCAGCACATAGTAGGACTTCAATAAATGTGAATTCCCTTCTCCTGGGGCAAGAGGCCCTTGCCTAACTAAGCCTCATCCATACCCTGAAGGATATCAGGTGAAGTGCTTAGGGCTGAGATGTACAAAGAGGAGCCTGTTCTTCCTGCCAGAGCAAGCCCAGCAGCCTCAGTGTCCCTTTCCACTTGCTTAAGCCATTAGCTTACCCTAGGAGAAATTGACTAGCCTGTGGAGAAGCTGACTTCTCTGTTTCCTGTCCTATAGTCCTGCCACTTGTTACTTACTGGCGAGGTGGAAAGGAAATATGATCACGTAAGGCAAAAGAGATGTTGGGGTGGAGGGATTTGGCTAGAACTAGAAATAGCTTGAGGCCCCACCCTGAAACTGCCCTCCAGTCCTGAAGAGGAAAAGAAATCGGCAAGCAGCAATCCCATTCCCAGACAGGTGGAGCAGGGGATGAAAGAGGCCAGCTGACCTTCAAGGGAAAATGCTGGCTTTGATCTCAGTAAAGAAAAGAGGGAGGTGCTAACCTCTCTCCACCCCTTCCCCTTTCCCCCTCAGCACTTCTTTTGCTTTCTGGGCTTCAGTTTATGCACTTTTGAGGGGGAATATAGTACTGAAAAGGAGGCAAATAGAAAGTATTAGATGAGGCAGAAATGAAAGGTAGTGGCCACTTTAGTGTAGTCAGTCCCTTTCAATCCTAGAGTTAATGAAGAAAGAAATGTAAATAGCTCAGCTTGAGTTCAGTTCAGCCCACCTCAATGCTCTTTTCTTGCTCATGTCTCTTCAGGTCTTGCTTACACAGTGAAAGCAGCATACAACTAGATAGTTGGTCAAAAAGATATTCAGAAGCCCCAAGGTTGCTGCTATTCCTCCATTATCATGTTTGGTTAGAGGAAACCAAGCAACAAACCTGAATCCACCAATCCTTTTATCCTTGCCTCAACATTTAGTATCTACTATGTGCCCAACTAGGTTAGTCATCAGGGTACAAAGACAATAAGATATGTTTCATAGGAGGGATTATTATAGACCGGTATGATGAGCGGTATAATATTAGCCATACTAAAAATAAAAGTAATAACCACTAACACGTATTACAAGCTTATTATGTGTCAGGCACCTAAAGTTTCTAAGTGTTATTATTATTATTATTTTTTGAGATGGAGTAACACGCTGTTGCCCACGCTGGAGTGCACTGGCGTGATCTTGGCTCCCTGCGACCTCTGCCTCCTGGGTTCAAGAGATTCTTCTGCCTCAGCCTCCCGAGTGGCTGGGACTACAGGTACACGCCACCACACCATGGTTGCTGGGGGTGGGGGGAACTTACTACAGAGTAAGAAGACAGGAGAGGCAAGAAAAGAATTATGGGGAACAGCACTACTTCAGAGGTGGGCACAGGGAGTGCAAACAGTTCTGAAATTTGAAATCTTGCTGAGAGGGTAAAAAAGAGGAAGGCTGAAAAGTGTCTTCTGATTTGTCCACTGGAAGGGGACATTTGCTGCAGCAAAGTCAGAGGAGGGTGGGCAGAAGTCTGATGGGAGTGAGGAGGCAGAGATGAGAGTGATGATGGAAATACAGTAGTCCCCCCTCATCCCCGGGGGATAGATTCTAAGACTCCCAGTGGATGGCTAAAACCGCAGATAGTAATGAGCCTGATTGTTCTCAATGGGAACAGGTTTCTGTTGTCTTCCATCCACGGATTTAATGCCTTTTCCTTCTTAATTAGGCATTTATCCTTCACTGTGGCTGTAACTTTTGCAGTTTGAGGTGCGAAAGCAAACCTAGCAGATTCCTTCCCTCCTTCCTTCCTCCCTTCCTTCCCCCCTTCCTTCCCTCCCTCCCTCCCTCCCCCCCTCCCTCCCTCCCTCCCTTCCTTCCTTCCTTCCTTCCTTCCTTCCTTCCCCTCCTGGGTTCAAGTGATTCACCTGCCTCAGCCTCCCTAGTCG